ACATTAAACAAGAATGGAGTACATGGGAGGACACCACGGAGGAAGCCATTGCTGTCCAAAAAGAATATTGCAGCACGTTTGAAGTTTGCAAAAGAGCACCTGGATGTTCCACAGCACTACTGGCAAAATATACTGTGGACAGATGAAACCAAGATTGAGTTGTTTGGGAAGAACACACAACACTATGTGTGGAGAAAAAAAGGCACAGCACACGAACATCAAAACCTCATCCCCACTGTAAAACATGGCGGAGGGAGCATCATGGTTTGGGGCTGCTTTGCTGCCTCAGGGCCTGGACGCATTGTTGTCATTGATGGGAAAATGAATTCCAGAGTTTATCAAGACATTTTGCAGGAAAACGTATGACCATCTGTCCGCCAACTGAAGCTCCGCAGAGAATGGGTGATGCAACAGGACAATGACCCAAAGCATACAAGTAATTCAACAAAACAATGGCTGCAACAGCACAGAATACGCCTTCTGGAGTGGCCCAGTCAGAGTCCTGACCTCAACCCGATTGAAATGCTGTGGCATGACCTTAAGAGAGCGATTCACACCAGACATCCCAAGAATATTGCTACACTGAAACAGTTTTGTGAAGAGGAGTGGTCCAAAAGTACTCCAGATCGTTGTGCAGGTCTGATCTGCAACTACAGGAAACGTTTGGTTGAGGTTATTGGTGCCAAAGGAGGGTCAACCAGTTATTAAGTCCAAAGGTTCACATACTTTTTCCTCCCTGCACTGTGAATTTTTACATGTTATGTGCAATTAAACCATGGCAACATCTAATGTTTGTGTAGTATTATGTTGGGCAGACTGTGTTCTTCTATTGTTGTGACTTAGATGACGTTCAGAGCACATTTTATGCCCAATTCATGCAAAACTCCACGTAATCCCAAGGGGTTCACATACTTTTTCTTGCAACTGTATCTGCTTGACCATATGGGTTGTACGAGCAAGCAGATATACTGACAGGAAGATTCAATGAACTATCACAGAGCTCCACAAGCGCCAACTGACAGGAAGATTCAATGAACTACCACGGAGCTCCACAGCGCCATGGTAGTTCATTGAAAAATACAAGTCGACAACCGCTAAGACTGTTGGGACTTGTAGTTCATTCATTCACGTAACTGTGAGTGAATGACACAGTGTGGGTGGAGCCCCGCATGGCGCACTGTTTTTAAATACAGACAGTACGGGGAACTTCTCCCCATACTTCATTCATGGGGGGGGGGGGGGGGGTAGCAGGCAGCAGCTGGGAACATGCTAGATGTTCCACCCTAAAAAACAGGTGGAACATGGAACATGTTCCCAAAGGTGAACCTATTCTTTAAGGTACATACATACTTGACCCTACTTTGTGTTTATTATGAAAAGGGGGGTTGCAATGTTTGCAAATCAACCCAGTGAACAAGAAAACTGAATATAAATCGCTTCCTTAAGCAATTTGCAGGAAGTTCAGTCATACAGACCAATATTTGTGATATTTGGAAGATAGTGATTTGGAACTTAGTTGAAGTTGGGGTGATCTTTTCAGGCCACTGGAGGGTGACTACAATAGCCAAATGCAACATAATTGCTGTGGAAGTCCCCCAATATGTCTGAGGAACATGCTTCTATTTAGAAAATAGGGAATAATGTGTAGAGCAGAGGGGCTGGGGAGGGGTCATTTTATGCAGCTTCGAGAACATCATGAGAAAGATGCAAATCCTTTATGATTTTGTGGAGTCCCTTAAAGCGGTTCTAAACCGAAACAATTTTTTACCTTAATGCATTTAGCTGCATTAAGAATAAAAAACACCCTCCCCCCCCACCTATCCGAGTTCCCCTTGCCCTTAGACACTTATCTGGCACCTCTCACAATCCAGCGCTGTCCTAAGCAGCACCTCTGTACCCTCTTCCTGGTCTCACATGCTGTGTGTGTTTATGGACGCACACAGCCCAGCTTGGGAGCATGCCAGAGCAATTTAGAGTATTAACCATCGCATGTAAATACATGCATGTATTTCTGTTGGTGTGATTCAACAGTGGAGTGAATACTTATGCTGCATTTATGCTTGATGTGATATGACATACTTGGATAATTGTACTTATTGTAAAATTGTATGTATATGCCTAATACAACGTTATTGCTAAACAAATTTTGTTATGTGGTGTACTTACTCTGTATATTTAAAATTGTTAACCTGTGCCGCACCAGAAAATTACAAAGGGTTGGAAAGATGAAGATTTTGTCTAAAGCAAGATGAATCAGCACTAGGGACACATCATACTAAATATAATTTGTGTTTCTTTGCAGCTTTTTTTGTTTTAAATTTAGGCTAAACTTAGGCTTTAAAGTGACAATAAATGCAATTTTTTATTAAAATAAAAAAAATTAGATTATAAGATCCAAGGAGCAGGCCCCTCCTAACCCTCTTGTACGGAACTCTATTGTTGCTGTATTGTCTCCCTTTATTTTGTAAAGCATTGAGCAAACTGTTGGCGCTATATAAATCCTGTATAATAATAATACTAATAATAATAATGTTCTTTTAATTGCACAAAGTGGTTGCTTACCTCCTCTTGTGAAGTTCCCCACCGGCACTCTCTGCTCCTTCTTCCGAGTGCCCCCTCACCAAGCTGATTTTTCTGCTTTTGATTTAGGCTAAATTTAGGCTTTATTGCTGTATGTGCAGAATTAATAAGGCTCATTTCTGGGATTCCCAACAGTGACATTGTACTTTGGCAGCACATACTTTGCTCTATAAGTCTGCATTTTTTTTAAATATTTTTGTGTGTACACAGCATTGGCAAAAAGCTTTTTAACCACCTCCCGTCCAGCCGTTGTATATAAACGGCCAGACGGTGGCACTGCAGGGTCGGGTGGCCGTCTATAAACGGCCTCCCCGCACCCTGCTTGTGCGCGCTCCCTGGGAGCACGCAGCACCGCGATCCGGTGCCCGCTGTGTCCTCCGGACACAGTGAAACACCGATCGTCGGACGGGACCTCTGTACGAGGTCCCGATCATGTGATCACTGATGGGCAATCAGTGATCACATGCAAAGTAGTAAGCAAGATGTCACTTCTGACATCATTGCTTACTACGTGTGAAATCTGAGAATGATCACAGAGGTCACATGGTACAAGGCTATTCACAAAAGCCTTGTACCATGTGACAAGCTGTGACCAATCACAGCTCACTCAGTACTTCTCAATGAGTGCAAGAATGCACACAGAGAGAAAGAGAAATGATTGCTTTTACACCCTATTTGGGTGTAAAAGCAATCAGTGTAAAAAAAAAAAAAAAAAATCTTCATCACCCCCCACAAGTAGTACAGTGTCACCATGGTGACACTGTACTGCTAGGGTGACAGTATGTAAAAAAAATAAATAAATAAAAAATAATAATATATAAAAAATAAAATAAAAATGTAAAAAAAAATGTTTAAAAATTATAATTTTTGCTTATAAACTAATTTGGATTTTTTTTTTTTACTAAAAAGATAACGGAATAAATTTTGGCTAAGATTTATGATGAAATATTATTTATTTGCAAAATTTTATAAAAAAAAACACTTTTTTTCAACATTTTTGGACATTTCATTTACATAGCAAAAAATACAAATCCCAGTGGTGAATAAATACCACCAAAATAAAGCTTTATCTGTCTCAAAAAAATGGTAAAAAATTCATTTGGGTACAGTGTTGCATGACCGCGCAATTGTCATTCAAAGTGTGATAGCGCTAAAAAGCTGAAAATTGCCCTGGTCAGGAAGGGGGTAAAAGTGTCCAGTCTGGAAGGGGTTTTAAAGAAATGTTAGTCAAATTGAAAGACTGGTCTCTTTTAGTAAGAGTCCCCACTGGTATAAGTTTGGTGAACAGTATTAGCTGTGCATTGGTCTGCTACCCTAAACCTCTTATTTCAAGACTGACAGCTGGCAAAAAGCTTGTTCTCCTAGTAGCTGTAAGAAGGATAGCAATCTAAAAGCAGAAATGGACTTCACAATAGACACAGTAACCAAGAATAACAGCTTCGGCCCCTGAGTTTGTTGGTTAAAAAGTAGCACATAACACCCCATTTTCATGTCATGGCATTGAAAAACAAACATATCTGTTTTGGTGAAAAAAAATATTAGAGCATCTGTCCTTGGGAATATATGGGTAAAATTTTTCAAACAACCCGGCCATGGTACCACATTTGGACAGCAACACCAACATGCTTGAAAGATAAGGAGAAGGCCTTTGAAGATGTCTTGTAAAACAAATTATAATAATATTTAAAAGTTTTAAATTTCAGGGTTTTAATATAGCACATGTTATAATTTTGTTTATTTTTAATGTATCCCTTCCACCAAAACCCCTTATCTAACCTTTTTCTCAACATAGCACTGATTTAACTAGCTAGACCACCAGACTGTGAATACTGAGTGACCATAAAAAACCTGGTATTTAATGCAAAATTAGCTAACTATGCCGACAGCTTGCAATAACTCCAAGTTTGACAGTTTAACTGCTAGCCTACATGGCACTTATACCCCCTTCCTGCCCAGGCCAATTTCCAGCTTTCAGAGCTGTCACACTTTGAATGACAATTGCACGGTCAAACAACACTGTACCCATATGACATTTTTATCATTTTTTTGTGACAGATAGAGCTTTATTTTGGTGGTATTTAATCACCTCTGGGTTTTTTATTTTTTCTTAAACAAACCAAAAACCACTGAAAATTTTGAAAAAAAAATGTTTTTTCTTAGTTTTTGTTATAAAAGTTTGTAAATAAGTGATTTTTCTCCTTCACTGATGTGTGCTAATGAGGCTGCACTGATGGGCACTGATGAGGAGGCACTGGTAGGTGGCAGTGATGGGCATTGACCGGCATCACTGATGGGCACTGAAAGGCAGCACTGATACATGGCACTGATATACGCCACTGATAGGCAGCACTGATAGGCGGCACTGACTGGCACTAATAGGCAGCACTGACTGGCACTGATAAGTGGCACTGACTGGCACTGTTAGGCGGCACTGACTGGCACTGATAGGCGGCACTGATGCGCACTGATAGGCAGCACTGACTGGCACTGATGGTGGCACTGATTGGCAGCACTGATAGGTGGCACTGATTGCCATTAATAGGTGGAACTGACTGGCACTGATGGGTGACACTGAAAGGCAGCTCAGATGGGCACTGATATGTGGCATTGATGTCCACTAGTAGGCACTGATATGTGGCACTGATGTGGCACTGATGGGCACTGGCACGAGGCACTGATGAGCACTGACATAAGGCACTGATGGACACTGACAGGTGGCACTGCTGAGGCTGCCCTGATGATCAGTGTACATGTCCCCTCCACAGAAAGCCGATTACCAGCTCTCCTCTCCTCTCGAGCTGTCAGCATGACAGCTCGAGAGGAGAGAAATGCCGGTAACCAGCATTTCCCTGTTGACATGTGATCAGCTGTGATTGGACACAGCTGATCACATGACCGAGCCGACATCTTTATCTCTTTCCGTGATCGGTGATCCGCTGTGTCCGAGGGACACAGCGCACCACCGATCGCCATGCTGCGCACTCCCTGAGCCGTGTATGCGAAGTGAGAATGGGAGGACGTCATATGACGTCCTCCCAGAACGAGAGAACCACCTTGCGCCCATCATATTACTATATGGCGGGCGTGAGGTGGTTAAAGCAAGCCCTAATAATTGTACCTCATTGAGAGTCCATTCATATCCATGGTTTCAGCCCTGAGAAAGGGGGAAGCATTTTCCCCAAACCACACTGGCTCTTTTGGACACCTTTGTTCACTAAATACTTCAATTTCCCTTTTCTTTTTGTGTCATGAACTTCTGCACTGGGCACTCCTCTTTACCCACCCTATTGATATGCATCAAAGCCACATAGTTCCCCCCTAATGAACTCCACAGACTGCCCAGCATCTCCTTGAAGAGCCATAGCCCTGAGAGTCCAATTATATATGTACTTTGTTTCATATATGTTTTTACTGTCTTACCCTATATTTAACAAAACTATTTATCAGAGTGTAAATTAAAAACATATGTACTCCAAAATATAGTTAATATAATAAAATATATTAGTATAATATAATAAAATGTAATTCTCTGAAATATATTTAGTTCATTGAAAGCACCAATCACATTTATATTTAGTGAAAGCACGGATTAAAACATAGTAAACAAGTTCCAAGCGCTTTGATACAATATAACTAACTCAATTGTCTTTATAACATTTTATAAGGAAATAAAAAGAATAATACTTGCTTACAATGCTACAAATGCGGGATATCCATAAACACTGAACAATAACTGGGATCTTTAGCTAATTGGGTTTCAAACAAATGAATATTTTTATTGTTTAACACTTGGGGGAAAATAGCAGGATTCACTGTGCCCATATTTTTAAAAAAATATGAAATTATTAATTATTCAGTTTGTAATGGACTTCACTTGATTAAAATGGATTATTCTATTACTGACTTAAAAAGAGCAAGGGCAAGAAGTACTTTTTCACTGTATGAGAAATGTTGTACTCTCTTGGGTGACAATTTATCAATATATCATACTGTATTTAGAGCCTCATGAAATGCTAGAAAAATTATAGATATTTTTATGCTGCATGAAAGCACGTTTATAACAAATGAGAGACAACTATTTATTCTTTAACCCATTATAAGGAAACCTTTTGAAGCCTATTTATTCGAATATCAGCATAATTTTAGAAACTTTTGCTTTAAAGTAGTTGTAAACCGTAAATTAATGACATTTACTTGCTACAGTGCTGTGTATAGTAGATAATTGTTCATTTGGAAAACTGTTCAGATTGAGAAAAGTAGTGTAGCAACATTATTGTTGCATTGTATTCTTTCTGTTTCATATATATGCAGTTAAAATACATAACCTCTGAGCTGCATATGATGTCACCAAGTAAAAAAAAATAACTTTGTGTTCCTGTTTAAACCTCTATTACGTCTTGGCTATCCCTAACCAGCCCTATGTAACACTTTCCCACCTTCCTTTTTAGCTATTATTTCTTTGCTGATTTCTTTTTGTATGTTTTCTATTAACCATTAATATGTAGACTTTTTAAATAATTTTGTTTATCCATTACTACAGGCACTTTAATATCTGTGTGACATTTTCATGGTGGGTTTCCTGATGGTGACAACAGTGGACCATGCCTGTGTAATGTATATAAATGAGGCCATTTGTAGTCTCCACTGGAAGCCCAGGTGACACGGTGACTATGCAGACTCACAACAAGTCAACAGGGACATAACTTTGTTACCCTATATCAGTAAGTGTCTAAATAAAGGCCTTTATATCAGAATCATTTTATTGAGCACTGCAGATATAAAATTTTGTTAATAACTTTAGAAATTACATTACCTGCTAAAATATATAGTACATTTTATGGACTAGATTTACTTATACTTTAGGCAAATCAAACAAGGGTATTAACATGGCATTACTTGAGACAAATATGAATAAATCAGGCCATCAGCATCATTGTGGTGTCAATGTGCAGTGAACATGCTGTATATTATACATTATATTAGCTAAAATTATTGGTGTGACCTGAGATAGTGAGAATAAAGTTCTTATGTTGCTGAGGACAGTTTATATTTCAACAGCATCGTAAGTTATAATTTAACAATGAACAGCTTTTAGGACATAAATAATATGACATAGCCCATATACTTTAGTCAATGGATGCCAATGATTTGTACATATAAATGGTAATTTATTAGATTTTATATTGCCAGAAAAGTTGTGTAATGTGCAGATATTCTATCAAGAATAATAAAAGAATATGTATATGGCAGATCACATTTACCAGTCCATCGATATCCTGGAGAAGAAGCAGCAGTAACAGCAAGCGATAAGCCATTTGTTTCTGTAATAATGCTCAAAGATGTGATAACCTTCCTTTTAATATCCTGCCCTAAGTTAGACTTTGACCATACAGAGCATTATTAGATATTCAGACTATGTCTATAAATAATTAATAAATGGAAATCTCCCAAAAGTGAGTGGAAATCTCCTCTTAGACAACTGCCATGGTAAGTTTCTAACCTTTCCTTATTCTATATAGATCTAAACAAAAGGGCTTGGCTTTAGATAAACTTCAGTACTTATTTACTAAAAGTGAATTACTTTGATTATAGCTAAAACTTGGCCAGGTTCGCTAAAGTGTAAAAATAAAGTGAAGTGAGTCTGTGTCTATTTGGAACACCCATTCGTGTCAAGGATTACATTTTTCTCCAGTCGATTACAGTGAGCACAGGTTCAGCGTAACTCATCTCACAATTTAATAATTTTTTTTATATTTAATTGTTAATATTTTTTGTTTATTAGGATGTGGCCTTTTAGGTATGGAAACATTGAATGTATTCCTCTCTCTCACTGGTAATAACCAGAAAATGTATATGTCGATGTTGATAATGTGTCTTCAAAATCTGATGGCATGCACACTCCCCTCTGACACGGTAACTTGTTGCTTGTGATTTTACACCAAGTAGAGTCTAATTGTTAAATGTGTGGTGCTATATGAACCTAATTAAATATTTAAGAATATGTTGCGCATTTTGCTTCTGCTAATTATAAATTGATCTCAGCCATTTTTATGTTTTCATTGGTGGACACTGTCATGATAGTCGCTGTGCAGAAATGATTTTGAGTCAACTCTGGGTTGGCTCATAAACATGATTGTTATTTCCTTTTCATAAATTAAACTGCTGTCAAAATTTTCATTAGACTTCAGCTTTTTCTGCTTGTATTAAAAATATATTTGGCAAGTTTAAACTGTCTGTTGTCTATGAACGCACCATGTGATGAGAAGTGAGGAAGGTCTATCCAACAGGTACAATGGCAGCAATAAGCATATAAAATTGATACAGATTCAATGCCTCAATATGTTATCTCAGCCAGCTGCCAAAAGGTTTTCAAGTGCTGGTCAGTTTGAAGACTGGCTTGTCAGACACATTGAGGACTACAACAAAACAGCACCTATTCAAAAACAGCCTTGGCATATAGTGAGCTCCTAAAAAATGGCTTCAGCTTGGTTTCCAGCCCATGGGAGAACCCCCTCTAACACCTTTCACCCAGTAGAGGCCTCTCCGGTAAGGCATGGTGATAAAATGCTAGATAGGGTGTCAAACGCTTTCTGAAAGTTTAACCCCAGTAGCATACCTGATATTAGTTTTTGGTGCATTAAATGGATTTGGTGAATAACTTTGTGAGTGTCATCTGATGATTGTTTATGCTCTAACGTCTTGTTGTGTCTCTAGGAACTAAAGTGAAGGTACACAGACAGCAAAAAAAATATTTTGCATGGGTATAACCTTGCCCTACTCACCCCAAAATGAAAAAGAATGGTTTTGGTTCTACATATACTTTAATTTTCACTTTTGTTGGACAGTTTGGTCTGTATATAGGTGGGCCCAAACCCAATGTTGTATAACACCAAATTGTAATCCAGTGCAGGAGTCACATGGCCCAACACAATACACATTGGCAACTGACGTGTTTTGGGAGATGGACCCCCTTTCCTCAGAGCTATGGCCTTTGAAGGACAGTGCCAAACCAGGTTCGAGCTGTATATTTAACCAGAAGGGCAGTCATAGGTGTGGTGTCTCTAATTGTGGGGCCTGCCATTTCACGTGGCATAGGAAAAAGGAGGTCATGGGCAGTGATTACAAAATGCATTCCATCAAGCAGTTTATTAACTACAGATCTCAGTATGTGATTTACCACCTCATTTACAAAGCCAGGAAAACCTTCAATACTGAAAGAAATTGTACCAACATAAACATCCTTTTTATTGGATTTGCTTATCTTACACAGTATCTTTGTAAAAAGTCAATCTGCTGTGGGAGATACTGTAGTAAAATGTTTCCTTGTTGTAACAGAAACAAAACTTGTTGCTTAGCAGGCAGCTTTGCTGTACCATGGGAAATGACTTCATCTGACAAAAGGTATTGAACTACAAACGTGTTATTGAATATCCATTGTAATGTATTGGATTTTACATTTGAGATTAAAAGACCATAAAGATACTGGATATGTTACTGGATAACAGATAAATTACGTGTTTATTTCCTTCTGCATTTGTAAGTGCAACAAATAAAAAGAGAGGGATTTCAGTGGGTGGTGGAATGAACACTAGATTAGTGTTGGTCTTGATGTTTGAGCTGAACATAAGTTCGGCTGGAACATTGGGTGTTTGTTGAACACACGAACGGTAAGGGCTTTTGGCAGGCTGTTCACCTGGTGCCCCACAATGCACTGCACTCTCACACTGCATTGTGATTAGCCAAAGCAATGCACCTGACCACAGGTCAGCAGTAATGCTTTGGCTAATCACAGCTCAATGCACTTGTGAGAGTCATGATTGGCCAAAGTCTCAGTGACCACACTGTCCATACCCTACACTATATAAGGTTGCTTACTCAGCAACCTTGT